CTCTCTCTCTCTCTCTCTCTCTCTCTCTCTCTCTCTCTCTCTCTCTCTCTAAAAATACAAGTTAAACCTGTTATAAATAGATAGATTGTGCATCATTTACTACATAAGAATTATAGGAAATGTAATGTATATAAACTAAAAGTGGTTAACACATTAGACTATGAAAGAAAAACAAATCACTGAAATTGGATAAGATGAGATATTTTGCAATTGAATGGTAACGGTGGAGCTAAGAAGGCAGATACAAATCTAAATCAATCTAAATGTAAAGTCTGTGTTTCCCAAAGAAAATTCATTGAATTTTGTTTTGATCTGAAAATCTGTTACATTCTTGGTAATTGAGTTTGATTTGGGTAAGAACTTGCTTCTTGGTGCAGGCTTAATATCAGTATTAATATCATATTAGACTTATTCGAGAGCCAGTAAGTAATACCATGTTCAGGATAACAATAGTGCTCTGGTGTCAGTTTCCGTCTTACTGTACAATACTGGGCTACTGACCAACACATTTGGACACATAGAGACACCAACTAGACCTGCACCCTTACCGGACCCTGGCAAGCTCCCTGTACTGAACACACACTGTTTTACAGGTTGAGTGTAATTAAATGGGGGGAAAAGCAGCATATTTCTATTAAATTCTAGCCTATGTGTAACCTAATATTAAGCGAAGGTGGAAAAGGACCGACTGAGTTTTGATCTTTTAATCAGCCAGAGGTAGAACCTCAAATGACTCCACAAGTCTGGCATTTTAAACCTTTCTTAAGTGGACCTGCAGAAGTATTATCTTCAGAATGTAATTAAAGTATATGAAGTAAAATACTAAATGGCCCCTTTGTGTTACAATGTTGAAGTATTATTACTAATGCATCAACTAAATGAGAATACGCTTTTGTATGAAAAATCTTTAGCTTTAAAGCAACTAGTAACTAGCTATAACTAGCTGTCACATTATTGTAGTGCGGATAAAGGCAGTTAGTAAAAAGAGCAAGGTATCCTCCTCTGAAATGTAAGTTGAAGTAGAGTAGCTTTAAAAGAAAATACTCAAGTAAAGCACCAGCACCTCAATGTTATACTTAAGTAGGTTACAGTATATTTGAATATTTATTTTACTTCTGTTATTTAAGCCACCTAGAATTGGCCTACTTTGCTTTGGCTTTGTTTTTTCTGTCGAAGAGAGAAAACAATAAACCCCTCAGTGCTGAAGAACTGTGTGTTAATTGCTGCAGGGTTTCTGCGTTTTGCTCCCAGCATTCACAGATTAATCATCAGAAGCAAACGTTTTCTACTCACTTACCCGTTTCCCCTGGAAAAAAAAACAGTCTAATCTGCATATCTGCGGGTCGCAGTTCTGGAGACCGCACTGAACATGCGCAGTCCAGCGCAGCGTCGACGCTCGTCAGCACTCCCCTCTGTCGCAGACGCTACGTCATCAGTGTTGGCGGTATTTTGAAAAAGGAGCGTCTGTTGTTGTTGGTTTCCGTGTTGTGGAGAAAAAATTCGCAAATTATGGTAAGACTGGATTTCCTCTGACTAATTCGTGTAGCGCAAATATGTACACTGCGATGTAAAGCGAGACGTGTTCACATTAATTGCCGAGAACATCGGTCCTGTTAATGTGAACGAGCACGAATCCTCACCGGTGCACTGGGGCAAATGTGTCCGTGCTGTGCTAAGTATCCAAAAACATATCCGAATGCAAATCGACGCTGTTTGTTGCATTTCATTATTCCCGTGTTCAGGCTGAGGTGAAGCTCGGCGGCCAGGCAGCAGCGGAGCTGTCCGAGGCCGCTCAGAGTGAGCTGATGGACCAGTGCGAGGAGCAGTTCGCTCAGCTGGAAAAGGTAAAGTGATGTTTAGCCGGGCTGTCCTCTCCAACCAGCCACTGGATGTGCAGAGAAGGTTCCAACTGCAGACTGTGTGTGTGTGTGCGTGTGTGTGCGTGTGCGTGTGTGTGTGTCCCTTTGTGTTGCAGCTTCAGAATGAGATTATTCTGTGTGAACCAGAGTCCTGTGAGAATCCTCAGGAGCAGGTGAGATGCTTGTACATGTTCATTGCTGTACTTTTCAGTTTCTATATCATCTTTTCTCAATGTTACTGATGAAAACACTGACGTTGGTGTTGCTTTAAATTACTTAGAACATCTTCAAAACTTCATATTCATACAGCCCTTTGCTGTACGCATAACGTACATCAAAGGTCTTTACAGAGAAGTAACCTATTTATCTGACTAATCAACAATCAATGAGGCAACGCAGTGACGCAGCACAGGGAAGGGCAGACGACACAAGTTCTTCTTGTAACTTTAAACGCTCTGTGGTTTAAGGGAAACTCAATTTAGACAAATGAGAGAGCTGTCAAAGAGGCTTCTTCTCAACGGTGCCGCAGATGGAAATAACAAGCCATAAGTATGCTACAAATGTTTACGACTAATTTAGCATTTTAAAGTTGGTTAATCCTCGTTTTTTTTTTTTTTGCATCACACATACTGTGCGTCCCTAAAGGTATGACATCATAGAAAAACAAGATGATATATCCATTAGAGAGCTTTACACTAAACCATTGTTTAGTTTGAATTTACCGTGTCATATTTTACTAAATATTGTCGGTTTATTTGTTTTACATTCATTAGGGTGTGATATTGATGTATGTAAATAACTTAAGAACTAATTAATAGCCTTCATAAATGTGTTTAATGTGTGAATATCTTTCATCAGGCAGTAAATCGACTGATGGCAACAGAAGCTGAACTGAAGCAGTGGCTGACCGTGGAGCCAGAATGTACGTCCTCTGTTCACACTGAAGCTGTAACAGAAATGAAATATAAGTGTTTACAACTGAAATATCTCAAATCAGCACCAAAGTCGTGTGCCACAGTTACAGTTAACGTCATTCTACATTTCAAAAAGAAACAATTTAAACTGGTTTGAAATCAACAAACATTTCTCTTGAATCAAGATTTATTCTCAATTTACTTAAATTGAGATTCCAGGCTTTCCCATACATTTAAATAGTTATACCTGCTGTATCTAATGTTTGCAATATTATCATTTTAGAAATGTGTTTATCGTATTTGTTTATCTGTTTTTGCTCTATCCAGTGCTGATATCAAATTCAGAAGTTTTACTTCAGGCTGGAAAAGAGGAGGTACGTCTGTGTGTGAAATGTAACATTGAAGAATGTTTCTTATTTAAATTCAGTTCTTGTCATACGATCCGTTTCCCCACCTTGTTTTCCACAGATGCTCAAGCTGTGCTCTGAACTTGAGATGGTTGTTTCTTGCCATGAAGCAAAGAGAGACAAACTGAGAGAAACTAAAGAACTGTGCGTACATCTTTTAGTTGTAGTGCAGACTTACAGTCTTTTCTCAGAGCATATACATGTTCCTCAGACGTGAATGGAAGATTTTCATTTGTTTTGCTCAGTGTATTGTTCTGAAAGTCGATGTATTCTAGTGAACAGAAGTGGTTGGAGGAGAAGAAACAGGCGCTGATAGCCGCCAATGACCACGTTGAACGACTTAAAACGGAAAGGGGGAAATTATCCGAACAGAGGTGAGCGTCACACTGAACCAGGAGTTCAAGCTCTGAGGGGTATCGCCACTGGAGGGCAGCAGAACACATTTTCTTTATTAAAGAAGGGACAATGCACATTTACTAACACACACACACACACACTTGAGTCCATCCTGTAAATGTGCCAGATTTAGCCACACAGGCTAATTGTCGCCTACAGCCTGGTAGGAAACATACAAGAGCACTGAAGCACACATAGGTTTAACTCTGACAACTGTATGTATGAACTAAAATCTATGTGTGTGTGTGTGTGTGTTTGTATTGACATGTGCATTCCACAGTATACTGCAGGACACCAAGGCAAAAATCCATAAAATGAAGGTCTACCAGGAGAGGTTGATGGAGTCTCTGGGCGACGTACTGGAGAAGCACGTCCCTCTCCCTCAGAATGAATCCAGTGCCAACAGGAAGAAGAAGGTGCAGCGGCCTGTTCTGTGTTAACGCGCCAAACCCGTGCTGTTACTGCACCAGATAACCATCTTTTGTTTATATTTTCAGAACATTACCCAGGAGTTAGACGAAGACTTGATTTCACTTAATGAAATTCTTGAGGTGGGTTTTGATGCTCTACATAATCAGCTTTCATGTCCAATTATGTTTCCTTGCTTTAAGTGAAAGGAGTCAGTTTCAAATATGATAATACAGATTTATACGAAGGTACTTTTGTCACGTCATCTCTCTCCTGGCGTCTCTTTCCAGTGTGTATTGTCAAATGGAGAAAGAAATCCAAAACTATTGACCTGTCTCTTTGTAAAAGCCTACCTGCATACTTTATAGGTGGTATCACCCTTACTTAACACCGATCTCCCTCCGTTCCCCCACAGCTGCTCATGAACAAGGTCCTGAATACACCACACGACCCCTACGTGACAGTGGACAACACATTCTGGCCCCCGTACACGGAGATGCTGCTCCGCTACGGCATTGCAGTGAGGCACCAGCAGAACAACTTCAAGATCCGCCTGGAAACCTTCTGTTAAGGCAGCGGTGCATCAGGCATCTTAAGCACCACTTATCTGCTAGTGTTTGTAGTTTGAGTCTGATTGTATAGTGTTGTCATTATGTATATTTACGTGAGCTCATATGAAAACCAACTGCTGGGAAAGATATGAGGTTAGCCATATAATGAAGTGTGATTATTAAATTAGGTTTCACAAGTATTTTTAAACCATGAGTCATTTAAAACATCTGAGAACACCGACATTAAAGTCTTATATCATTAGTGTTGATATTTTCTCTTAAGTACATATTTCCTTTGATCCTAATTCATAGCTGTTTTTAATGGCACGATGTAATCATCAATGAGAAATGTAGGTGCATTTATGACTATGAATTTGGTTTCATTAAAATATGTTTGAGTTGCTTATAAGGGGACTTTTTGAAGCCTTCAGGTGCCCAAAGGGTGAATTGTTGTTTTTTATGTATATATTTTCATGTTCAATAAACTTGTGAACTGCAGATGTTGAGTTTTGTTAAGGGAAAAAAACATCTGGGATCATTGATTGTCTTCTCACGGTTGATGGAGGCAACCAGTAGCCATCTTTCCAGTCCAAATTATAATGACATTCATTTTTTTTTTTTTTTTTATGAAAATGCAAAACTTATTTCATGAGGAACTTCGTGCGTCAGGTGACGTCAGAACTGTCGTCCAATCAGATGCATCCGCGGCGTCAGCTTTAGCGCTCCTGTGGGCGGAGACGGGATTCCGGTTCCGGGTGTTTTCACATCTCGCTCTGAGGCGTCCGTCGCTCTGATTATGGTCTTTTATGAGAAACTTAACTCGATTCACGACTGATTAAAGTAGAGTTATTTTTTTATTAAAGGAGTCCAACTAAAGCCGTACTTATGGCGACCCGCTCGGAGAGAGAGAAGTCCCAGAAACTCAACGAGCAGCACCAGGCCATCCTGTCCAAAATGCTGAGAGAGGAAGACAACAAGTACTGCGCCGACTGCGAGGCTAAAGGTACGACAGTCACACTATCGACTTTAAAAAAAAATTAAACTTCACAGAGTCAACGTTTTCACTCCGGATCCGTCGCTCGCGCGCTCTAACTATGTAGCATCTGGGTTGGTTAGCTTAGCTGAGCTAACTCGCTAGTGGGTAACTGCAGCTCAAGCTAGTCAGCTGACATCCCCTGAAGCTAAACTAAGTGGCTAACTAGCAAGCTAACTTCTCTGAAGCTACAGGAGCAACACCTCTCCCTTAACGCCGCCTGCAGCTCTTCTGTCGGTTGTTTTACAAGTGTCTCCACAGGAAGCTGACGCTTGTTTTCATGTTGGGTCGTTGGTAAAGAATACAGAGCTTGCTTTTGGTACTTAAAGTCACTACAAGATCTTGCATGTTTATGTTTATCTTCTTCAGACATCTCTCCATAATCAAATCACAATCCTTTTTTTGTTTTTTTGTGTGTGTTTCAGGTCCACGATGGGCATCCTGGAATCTGGGAGTATTCATGTGCATCAGGTGTGCTGGCATCCACAGGAACCTGGGAGTGCACATATCCAGAGTCAAATCAGTCAACCTGGACCAATGGACTTCAGAACAAATGCAGGTATTGTTTTGTTCTCTATGGACTTTGGTTCAATTACAGAAGACGATGCTTTTTATTTCCCCAAATACTAAATCAGTTTAAATCGTTTTGCGAGACATTATTGCAAAATCTTTGTTGCATGGGACTTATTAAGGAGATTGATTTCAGCATCCTTCTACTTGTGCATATCTGTCCTCTATTGACAACCCGCCTTTCCTCTTCCAATCCTCAGACCTGTGACAGGACTGCACATTTATTATAAAGGGGGTACTCTCAATAAATTAGCACTGCGCCTCAGTAAACTTGGTAGATGGTGAGAGATCTTAACTTTTAGTCCCTTATTGCAAGTCAAGCTTCAAACATACCAGATACTAAAACTCCCATAATGTAAACTGATAGGGTCTGTCACTACGCTGATCAGAAGATTACTGATAACATGAGCATACAAGTTATAAGTATGACTAGGACACACTCCAAAATATTCTACTTGGCAGTTTTGAATACTTTGTAATGCCCGAAATGTTTACTAAATATGTGTCTTACATGAGTTGTGGTCCAAGGTATTTAAATCTGAGTTTTCCCACCAGCCTTCCTCTCAGCCTGCCTGGCATACGACCAGCTGTCAAACTCCACGGCCCTAGTTTATATCACAAGCATCAGAAAGCTCCAATAGAGAACACATCATACTCTCCTTGATGAGCAAACTAATCGTCATGTGCAAATTGGATTGAGTGCCCCTTGAAGTACTTAAACATGCATATATGAACAGCCTCTGATTTCTATAAACCTCTCTGTCCTTCCCTTTATTGTTTTTTAGAGTATACAGGATATGGGTAACACCAATGGCAGGCGGCTTTATGAGGCAAACCTTCCAGAAAGCTTCAGAAGACCTCAAACAGACCAGTATCCTTCACTATCAGCAGGCACGCTTACGATAACTTGAAAGTGCCGCACTGTATCTACTGAAGCTGTTCCGTTTTCACTCGTTTGTTGCCCTTTTTCTCTTAACTCTGACCTAAGAGCTGTGGAATTCTTCATCAGGGATAAATATGAGAAGAAGAAATACTACAGCAAGAATGTGACCAATGGGAGCAGTGTATGTATCCAGTGTTTTTACTACTAAATATATATATTGTACATGCTTTTAAAAGTAGTGTACACACTTTTATTCAGTTTGTTCTGTTTCTTTTGTTTTTTGTTTTTTTTTTAGCCAAAAGACGGTAAGAAAGAGAGGGAGCCAGACCGAGGCAGCAAGGTGTCGTCCTACAGCAAGGTAAGTGTCTCACACCGTAGAGCTGTTGTATGAACGTCCTCCTCAGCATTAGTTTTGTCCCATATGGAGTTTTCCTTACTTTTTAAAATTTATTTTAACTAACTTTTTCTTTTCTTTTTTAGAGTGAGGAGTCCAGGCCAGCTCCCAAAGTCAGCCCCGCTAAGACTTCAGAACCCTCTGTGAACCTCCTCGGCCTCGGTGAGGATCTCGGTGTCTTATGAATGTGCTGCCTGAGATATTTATGGAATCCGACTAAATAAGTTTTCAGCTTGTAATTGTTTGAGCGGATGACTATAAACTCATTGGGCCGGGAGTTTGGAGGTTTTATGGGCGGTATATAACGGTGCTGTGTAATTTCGGATTTCTGATTTGTATTTAATTTGACTGTATGTGTGATGAGATGCCTGTAACTCTTTCTTGGTGTAGCATGCTGTGGCATGTTATGGCTGTGATTGTATACCTTTTCAATGAAGAGGAGAACTCCACTGAGTGACTTGGTAGTCCTGTGAGGCGGAGGGCCAAACCATGACTGTCTCCATCTGTAGCTTGAGTTGTCATCACTGTTAACTTGTCGGCTCAATGTGTAATAATCAAGCAGTGGACTTGAGCGTGATGTCAAAAGACACTGCGTTCCCCTTTCAGTTGGTTCCCTGTGTAACACATCAGTTACTGTGACTGTACGTTCCTGTTACTCTCATCTGACGAGAAGCAGACAAACCATTCTGATCCGCTATCTTATCTTATCGGTACGAGAACTTTAATGAAGTCTGTTGTTCTTTTAAGTTGCTGTTGAGCCAGTGAACCACTGCAAGGTTTGTTTTTGTGAGTTTGTCAGAGGAAGTGTTAAAGCTGCTGACTCAGTCACCGTGTATGCCTTGTAACTTGTATGACTTGTAACTTCTTGTTTTTTACATTTATGTTTGGACCTTTTTTTCTTTGGAGGACCAGCCTTAAATATTATACGGGATAAAATGAGGACAGTTTGACACATCACGAATGGAGGCAACACCTTATCTCAGTGGCTCACAGCACATTTATGACAACCGCATGGAAACATGTTGCTCGTGGGTCCATTGCTGGCTCACTTGCAGCAGGTCTTCCAGTGTATGAGTAGCATTTATGTGGACATTTCTACATTGATGTGTAGAAAATGAGTTGTTTCTCATGGTCCATAAATGGTGAGCTAGAACAACAGGTTATTGTTTGTCTATTGATTTGTGTACTCTGAATATGGGTGTTTCACTTCATTACAGTGATTTAATTTAAAGTAAGAGGACATATTTATGCTACTGAGGAGCTTTGCACTGTTTGATGTTTTGTGATCGATGAGCTAATGAGGGCAAGCTGATACATGTTCTACTGTGATAACCGTTATGCTGCCTGTGAAAGCTGTTCTGCCGCTGTGGGAGGGCATTGCAGTTAAATGAGTAGAAAGATGACGCGTGTTCTCACATTAGCAAACATAAGCTCTGTTTGTTTTACACACCTCTTTACAGCAATTGCAATTATACAACAATAAATTCTTGCGAAGTGAATTCAGGTAGAATGTCAGTGGGGAGTTGTGTCGTGTCAAAATAGTCCAGCACCTGTTTTCTCTGACCGTGAGCTCTTCATCTCTACCTGTAAAACCAGTTCTTTAAACCTCTCTGTCACAGACGTACCGGCGGCCGCGTCGGCTAACAATGGAAGCTCGAGCACAAACCAGAACAACAATGACCTGGATATATTCGGCCCGATGGTATCCAACCCCCTCCCTTCATCTTCATCTGCAGCTCAGTTTTCTCAGGTAAAATCCAGCAAGAATTCCCCCGTCCAGATTTAGTACTAATCTCTGAATGATGCTCAGGAGGGCTTCACAGTAATGGTTGTCTAGTTGTACAACTGAAATTAAGTGTGCAGTAGAACATAAAAAGTCAAATGATAACTACCAGCATCAATAGCCCACAAGACAGAAACGGCAATACTGAGAGACGGTGAAAGAGTGTGTGTGTGTGTGTGTGTGTGTGTGTGTGTGTGTGTGTGTGTGTGTGTGCGTGTGTGTGCGTGTGTGTCAGAGTCAGTCAGTCAGTCACACAATACAAGTAGTACTGGTAAAGCGACTTGTTGTTATGTCTGGGGGATTTGATTACCACCGAGCCTGTCGGATGTTAAAGCTACTAACAGTCGACCAACAGTCCACAGCTGAGATATGGGGATTATCATGCAGGACGGTATATTCACTCCATTTATACATGAAGAAAAACGCGGAAGCCATTCTGTCTAATAGCTGATGGCTGTATGGCAAGTAGGTCGTAAACGTTAATTAAATGTAATTTGATTTAATGATGGAACCTTTGTTGATGATAACTTGTTGATTCATTTGAAACATGTTCTGTCTGGACAGGTGTCATATTGAGCTGCTGATGTTTTAAACTCAAGTCACTGTTATTCGATACAATCATCCAAAACATTTGCTCTCTGTCAGGTGAGCTCCAGTAACGCAGCCGGCACTCCGACACAAGCTCGAGCAGCAGGAGGCGGAGCCAGCTCGGGGTCGGTGCAGGGAGACCTGGACTTGTTCAGTGACACCAGCAGCACCACGAAGACTGAAGACACGGCCAAGA